TAATTTTCTGTTTAACATAATAGGGTATTATGTTAAACAGAAAATGAAATTGGTCTGGTCTAAGTTAGTTTTAAGAACTAACAAGATACTAACGATTTAATGTTTAATATCACCTTAGATCAGCCATAGCATCAAATGATATATACGAATTGGATTTGACTTAACTGAAGGTGAAGATATAGTCGAAGCAGCGAAAGGGCTTGCTGGAACATCATTGGCACAAATTACAATAAATCGTGATGATGAAAGTAGTGGATCAGAAGCTGAAAGCGTCAAGTTAAATAAAACAAAAAAAAAACCCAGAAATTCCAACCAAAAAAAGACAAAAATTAAAACTATGGCTGGAATTTCAAAACTGTTTTGCTGGGAGTGGGCAGTGGAAGGTACATTTGCCGGGTTCATTCATGCTAGGGGACTACCTCACGCAGATTCTTGGAAAAATTTTTCACTGACAGAATTTAACGCCCTATTATTCGCCTAAAGCCGATAGTTTCAGCACACACAGAACCCACATCTGATTGGACTATGTCATACCCAACAATAAATGGTATGTTGTAATATATGAATAACTTGTTAGAAATAAAATTTATAATTTATTATAAACTTTAGTTCCTTCGAGTAATACAATGGAAATAGAGAGTAAGTTGTACTTTTGTGACTTAATTGTAAGAAGTTACTAACTTACATTGCTCGTGAGATAGACATTACAAATTTTAGTAGCAGAAATTATCATGCAGGTTCTGAGATGGACATTGACAGTAAGAATCATTTATTTTAGTGTCTCAAGTTCGGTTTAATGTTCATTTCTAGCTAATAAAATACTCACAAATTTGGACTGAATAAAGTCAAATAATAATAATCATAATTGGATTTTTTTTTTTAGAAAATGAACCTAGAAAAAATGAACAAAATGCATTCATTCATTTTCAAAAATCTGATGAAATGGAAAGTTTGGATAGAATTGAAGCTGAAATGAATGAACAAAATTTATTCATTCAATATCAAAAATTAGCCAGAATGGGTAATCAAAACATGAATCTGGGCTGGTTAACGAAATATATTGAAATAAGCAGTCACTTATTTTGTGTACTATTTATTTAGGAAATGAAGCTGGAAAGGATGAACATAATTCATTCATTCGGTTTCAAGAATCTGCTGATATGGAAGATTCATATGAAATTGAAGTTGAAACAAATGACAAAATTCATTTGTTTGTTATTAAAAATCAGCCGAAATGGATAATCAAAACACGAATCTGGGCTGGTTAAAAAAAAAAATTGAAATAAGTGATTACTCATTTTGTGTACTATTTATTTAGGAAGTGAAGCTGGAAAGGATGAACATAATTCATTCATTTAGTTTCAAGAATCTGCTGATATGGAAAGTTCATATAAAATTGAAGTTGAAACAAATGAACAAAATTCATTTGTTTATCATCAAAAATCAGCTGAAATGGGTAATAAAATCACAAATTTATGCTATATAAAACAAAATAAAGTTTACTCATCCTGAAAAATTTATTTAGAAAATGAAACTGCAGCGGATGAACAGAGAGCATTTATTCATTTTCAAAAATCAGCAGAAATAGAAGATTCCAGTGGAATTGGAGTTGAAATGAATGAACTAAATGCATTCATTAATCATCAAAAATCAGCCAGAATAGATGATTCTAGAGAAAGGTTTGTAGAACTGTTGGCATGATTTATTTTGATTTTAACTAATGTAGTTCTTTTTAGAAACATTGAAGAAACGTTTCAAATGATCAAGGGTTGAGCATTTCCAGCAAATGCTAAATTTGGCAAAAAGGGTGGGGGAAAAAGAATCAGGACTGAGGTCATAAATATTTTAAAGCAACTTTTTTTGAACGGAAATTTAAACCCCAAGGACAAAATGACGGCCAAGGAGATGCGTGAGGAACTGTTAAGGTTTGTGCGTGCTGGAGAAATTGAAGAGCATCATGTACCTCAACTAAACACAATCCAAAGTTGGATTGGCCGATATGCAAAGGAGTTTAATCGAGAAGAAACAGCCATTGTTCTCGAAACCTTTAAAGAAATGGGCTCTTCCTCATTAGTAAGTATTTATGTTTCATCTCATTCTAAACATCAAATTTGACAACTTAATTTTATATCAAAATAGAGTTGAAAAGAATGAATATAAGGCTCTCATTTATTATCAGAAATATATTTACATATAAGTTGGCTATTGCAAAAGATGAATTGATTGCATTTATTGGTTATCAAATATTGTTAAAATGGGACATGTAAATGGGAATATAAATACTGTATAAATAAATAGGAATTAAACAGAGTACAAATTTTAAATCAAATAAATTGAAGTTTCAAGATTCTCGATTATAAATAAACATTTTATTTAGACTATTTGATATAATATACAAATTCTTCTTAAATGCAAGTGCTATATACGCTATTCATTAACATATGCTTTGTTTTAAATCAAAGCTATACTTTAATGAAAAGATCGGATTTAAAAAAAATTTTTGCTGATATAGCTTACATCAAAATATTAGGCTGATTTTAATTACAATGAAAATTCTCTATTATATCGATTCTTAATTGTAACTTATAATTCTTGAAGAAACTAACTGCAGTATAAAGCACAATTAGTAGAAGTAACCATATAAATAAATCCATCTGGTATTCAAAAATTCTTTGATATTAAAATACCATAACACACTTTAGTACATGCTTCTATATAATTTTACAAAATGAGTGTTGCCAAGAGAAAACCTGTCATCGGGCTTTCAATTTTATTTTGTACCGGAAATAATCTATCTAATTTATTAGGTATTGTGTCCAATATGAATATAATTGAAAGCACAATGACAGGTCTCCTCTTGGCGGCACTCAAATAAGTCCTGTGAAATATACAAAACCCAATTAGAAATCATCCTTACACCACTATCACAATGTAAAGTAAATTGGTAATGGTCTAAAATAGATCAATTTCTAGAAAATACCGTATACCTTTGAGGTTAACCAAAAAAAATGGTTTTAGTAGGCCAAATTGAAACAGAAGTTGGTTGTAATACTTGCAAAGATAATAGTTGTTTTTCTACTAAGGCTGCATATATGAATATGAGTTTTGAGTTAATCTAATCAGTCCTGACAATTTTTGTTACATTAGGGCTTCAAAGTTACTAAATATACGTTTTTACCTCTTTTCTAAATAATTTATTCGGTCTTATGAAATGAACGAGCAAAAGTTGAAATCGAAATTACTAAAGATTTTGACTAATTTTAGCCTGAATGTGCGTGTCTTACTGAGTAAAATTTTTAAGTCATGCGACAAAAAGAAAATTTACTTAGCTTGCTGATTCTACTGGTTATGTTCTATGAAATTTGAAGATTAAATTTTGTTTTATTCAGATATAGCATGGATTTATTATAAGATAAAAACTGCGTATTAGAAGTTTATTATGATTGATCACTGCCATATTACTATATAAAAATTTTACTCTTTATTTACGATCTACCAATTAATTTTTTATTATACTTTCTATATTAAATGCTAAAAATAGTAATTTTTATATAACCATGATGGAAATAGCAAAATACCATAGTGGAAATAGACATTCCCTAAAAATAAGCTATAGGTAATTTGTATATTTAATAGTATAATATTATAAGGTATAAGAAAAATAATTAGCTATATAG